TGTGACTCTTATTAATTATGCTGAATGGGGATTCAGGAAGATCTGCATCCAGAGTGCACAAGATTATTTCTTACTCCAAAGAACTTTGTTCTTTGCTATTGGAAGTATAAAATCATGCAATCATGTTAGAAGTTATTTTGGAAATAATGCCATTCCATTTTTTTTTAAACCAAAGCAGGAACTGCAATTACTATAAAAATACACAATAGCTGGCTGCCCAGACTCTGCTTAGATAACTTCAACAGAACTAGGATCTCCAAAACAAAACAACCCTCACCAGTTGAAAGGTCTTGGTGCTTCTTTCAATTTCATCCATTAATTTTCCTTCTAGACCCAGAAAACTATTCTGATTGCTTGCCTGCATGATTGTCTTTCAAACACTATTTATTGCGTTTTAATCTATCAATGATATTTCTCTCAATAAACTTTAACACTGTCTGAATAAATGAAAATGATAAAATAGTAAAACTAAATTGCTTGGATGGTAAATAAATGTCACAATGCTAATAGAGTAAAGGCACATGCATTCTGGTTTATCAAATTCTAAAATGCCTAAAAGAGAAACATCTTAGCCTAGTGCAAGAAGGTCACTGGGATGTTTCCTAGATCAGGGGTCCCCAATCCCCAGGCCACAGACTGGCACCAGTCTGCAGGCCACCAGGAATCGAACTGAATAAGGGAGCAAAGCCCCATCTGCACACATGTGGTATCCAGGAAGTGTGCAAAACCATGCCCCCTGGTCCACGGAAAAACTTCCCTCCATGGAACCAATCAATCCCTGGTGCCCAAAAGGTTGGGGGCTATTGTCCTAGATGAAGGATAGATGGCTGGTCTCAGATGGAGAAAGGTTTAAAGGTTTAAAAGGACAGCATTAGTATCCTACGTTTGGTCTAGAAATGGTCTACAACCCAATATACCTGATACCTCAATATTCTGTTGATCGATCCCAATTAATGCAGTAGAAGTACAATTCTGGATTACCTGAATATTCAAACAATAACTCTAATTAAAACAATAGGAGTAATCTGAGTGATTAAGGTATAATATATACCTGATTCCAGACAAGATATTTGTACATTTAGGACTGATTAGCTGGTAATACACCATTTAGCCACTCAGAGAAACAGATTGAATATCATTCACTTGGGTAGACAACCCATCTCCATCTCATGGTACCTCCATCTTATCTAGGCTACATTTTAACATACTGGCTATCAAATCGCTTTCAGTCAGCCAGGCCAAAAACTGAAGGACCAAACTTCCAAGGATATCAAATTCCAGTAAATAGATTTATTCTAAGTTAATGAAACACACTGCAAAAGAATTCCAGAGACTGCTATCCATCCTGTACAGCCATCTTTAAAATAAAATCAGGGTTTAAATTTTGCACCTCTCCACGTAGTGTAACAGGCTAGAAGCCATTCATTCCCTTGTGGACAGGAGGTATGGGTTCCACTTGTCTAATCTGATCTCAAGCTCTCTGCTTGTTCTCACACAGGCCTTTCTTTATCCAAACTATTGCAATGTTTAGGAACCCATTCAGGATATCTACTCCCTCACTGTGGTTAAGCAAAATTGGGAGATGCCATGGGATGTTATTGCATTTTCATAATATTTGTTGAATAGCTCTTGCTACTTAATAATGAGTTTTTGATAATTTTTAATTGAATTAAGGATGAGTTTTCTTCCACTGACTTTTTAATTATGATACCAACTTCATTATCCTGAACCCTGGGTTTGGCTCTAAAAAAAGGAAAAAAGTACCTTAATGAATTAATTTCAATATACTTTAACAAATAACATTCCACTGTTTGACCAAGGTTTCAACAGGACTATCAAACAGTCCAATATAATTCCCCAACCTCCCCCTACAATCCTTCCGGACCCATTAAGATCTATTTGCCTTCAGGACGACAACTCTTGAATCCCTACTTTTACAGGAGAATGTCACAGAGAAAGTAAACCTCAACAAATAGTGATATATTGTACATTTTTAAGTGGTAACAGTGTTCTCTTTTAGATGATCTTCCTATTCATTCAATTAAAATCAAATTTAGACTGCCATTACTTTTGGGGGTGGCAGCATACAGATACCTAACTGGCCACTGTATCAACTATAGGAGATAAAATGGCCTCAGTGTACATCTAACAAATCCATCAACCTGGGAGTTCTCAACCAGTCCAAAATTGTAGCCCAAATAGGGAGAGTTATCATCTGTCCTGCATGCAGGGCACCAGACAAATTCACGAAATTGGCACAGTGGCGGATAGGAAGACAAGAAAGATATTCTTGTAACCCACAACCATCCCCAGCATCCTGACCTTCAATCATGTTCTCTTGCAACACCAAATATTCTAGCAGACACATCTAGGTAACACTTACATCTGCCCCCCCCACCTCAAATTTTACTTACATAGACTTAATCCTAAATTAATTCATTCTGGATTTAATAGGGAAAGTTGATAAAGGAGATGACTCCTATTTTCCTCACCTGGAACTCATGAAAGTGATGGGGAGAGGTACCTCATTTGAAACTGGCCTTTTAATGGATGGGATTTGGATGCAATCTGACAACTCTGTAATTCAGGAATCAGCAATGCACCCAATAATAAATCAAACCTGCATCGTTTATATGCAACAGATTTAACAAAATTGCATGTCACATGAGAATACCGATGCTCACTTCCACTATGGAGAAGTAGCTTCAATTGGTAAAATAACAGCATGGAAGTGATTTGCCATTGTCTTTTTGCAACTATGCAGAAGAAGCCACAATGTTATTGCCTATCAAAATTGATTTATGTACATTTTCAAGTAAAATGGGAGTAAACTGTTTAATTAAGGTCGCTCCCCCAACTCAAATAAATTTATCTTTGAAATCATCAATGCAGCTTGAGAAATGAACTAGTGTATAGACCTTTTTCTTTGCTTGCAGGTTAGCAAAGTGAAATCTAAACATTACTGGATTTTCACATACTGGGATTATTTATGTCTTTATTTTGCTGTGCTTGTATCTCAATTATAATCCTAATCCTTATTGCCTAATCTTTATTCTTTCATTTGAGAGCTCATGTTTACTGTATTTAGCACTCATTCTTTCAAATTACAAAGATTTGGAGCTCTATGCTTAGGCAAACATTATGAGCTTTACTAAATCAAATTCTGTTGACAAGAAAAAGTTTAATAAAGGTTCTGGGCATGGACTTTCAAAATTGTCGGCTACTGGGCAAAGTTCAGACAGATAAACATCTGAAGGAAAATTCAAACCATCCCAAAGGTTTGATGAAATAAAATGAATGAATGGATGAAGTAATCTTTATAACAAGTTAACTTTCTAGGAATAGGATATTTTCCAAAGAGTTTAGGAAGTATCTTGAGTCTTAAGAAATATGTTGGAGTGTTCTAGAATATAGACATATGTGTTAATCTTAGCTTCTTGTGTTTCCAGTTATAAGAATCTTGTATAGCTGGGCAAATCAAGACCTTTGGGACTTTGAAGAGATGTTTACTAGCAAAAAGCAGTACTGGGCTAAGTAAAAAGTACTATGCCTTAATAGAAGGAAGGAAGGAAGGAAGGAAGGAAGGAAGGAAGGAAGGAAGGAAGGAAGGAAGGAAGGAAGGAAGGAAGGAAGGCTAATATTAAGCTTCATTTGTTTGAAACTAATATGGATTAATGGCTGATCACATCTTGAAAAGTGGCATGCATATTAACAACTTCCTCATAAACAGTACAAGGTGGTAAATCTTTGCATCACTTAACATCTTCCAGGGAGAGGGAAAAAACCCCACATCCTCACATATCCACTTCTAGCTCAAAGAAGCTTGAATACACAGTTGCACCCCCTAAGCTACAGACTCTAAATGCAAATATAGTCTTCGACTTACAACAATTTGTTTAGTGACAACAGCACTAAAAAAAGTGACTTATGACCGTTTTTTCACACTTACAACCATTACAGCATCCTGATGGCCACGTGACCAAAATTTGGATGCTTGGTAACCAACTCATATTTATGACAGTTGCAGTGTCCCGGGGGCATGTGATCACATTTTGCAACCTTCTGACAAAAAAAAAAAGAGTGAAGCCAGATTCACTTAACCATGTTCTTAACTTAGCAACTGCAATGATTCATTTAATAACTGTGGCAAGAAAGGTAACGTAAAGTGAACAAAACTTACTTAACTCACAAAACTCACATAAATTTAGGGCTCAGTTGTGGTCATAAGTCAAGGACTACCTGTGTTTTACCAGTGTAAAAGTAGTAAGCTATACCTATACCTTCTTCTATCCTTGGCCCTTCTTCTAATATAAGCTTTCTTTACACCATTGCTGAAATATTTAAATCAAAGTAACACATGTAAAATATTGTGAATACTCAAAAGCACTATAGCAGGGGTCCCCAACCTTCGGTCTGTGGACCGGTACTGGTCCGCGGCATGCCAGCAAGCGGGCCGCACAAACAAGCAAAGCCCCATCCGCAAGATGCAGGCAGCACACAAAACCACGCCCCCTCCGGTCCACAGAAAAGCCTCTCTCCACGTAACTGGTCCCTGGTGCCCAAAAGGTTGGGGACCTCTGCACTATAGTATTAAACAAGAAATGTATCCTGGGAAGACAGAATAGATCCTCTTTCTTTAATATATAGAGGAATTTCTTCCACTTATTACCTTTCCTTGGAAAAATACTCATCAATCTGAAGCCAGGCATGCAGTCTGAGACGGAGGAGTCCATGACTGCCACATCAGCTGCTTAACTTGCTATGAGGTTCTAGCTCATTGTATCTCATGAAAGAAAGTAGTGCAAACCACTCTCTCTTCTAAATATTATAAATAACTGTGTGGATGTATATCTGTGAAAAGACTGGGCTATATAAAATAGAAAGGTAGAAACTGCTAATGGATTCAAACTTCTGACATTTCCACATCCAGTCCTCATAATTTGATTCCACAAAGGATAGTTGAGAAGGAATTATTAAACTGTGTCAGCAAAGGCAATTACCTCCAGTGCAGCAGAAGGCTTCTTTTTAAGTTCTTCACATTTTCGGAATTTGCAAATCTGATGTCCAGTTTTACGGTTCCTACAACTGCTGCACTGCTCACAGTTTATTCGTCTTCTGCAAGGAGGGCACATGCCACATCGTTTTCGTTTCTTTTTCCCTGAATTGATGGCAGATGCCAATTCATTCTGCATTGGGTACTCTGCTAAGCCAGCCATATGGAGTGCACTTTCTGCCAAAAATACACCAGCAGGGGTCATAATGAAAAGGCCAGGGTTGATGGGAAAAGCCCCCAGGTAAGGAAAATCAGATGGGTTGTTCATTGTTTCAGCAGCTGAGACAGCTTCCATGTCTGAGATGCCCGTCCCGTGGTCATTAGACAGGGGGATGTGCTCCTGGACTACTCTTTTGAGCAACTCTGTGGACTGAGCAAACTGTTGCAAGATGTTCTGTCCTTCCAAAGAAATATCTGATTTGCTCAACATGTCAGAGATGGTTTTGTGCTTTGAGGTAGAATTGCTTTTTTCCACGATTGCCTCGCTGCTGTTGGCCATAGGGACACATTTCTCTGAATGTTCACTTAATGAGCTGCTGCTACCAAAAGCAGAGTAATGGGACAGTGGTCGAGACTTCTTAAGACTTTTGTTCAAAGGTTCACTAATTATCCCACTTTTGTTCCTTCTTTCCAAATTGATTGAGGGCTGAGAATCACCAGAATTGTTGCTTTTTTCCAACAAGCCTGGCTTGATACCAGCATCTTGATGGGCATCAGGATCAGACATCTTTCTTTCTCTTTTTTTTTAAACAAAGGAACCAGACAAAGCAACAAGCTCACTTACTGTAGAAAATAATCAATCACCACAATACTAAGAGTAGTAATCACAAAAAAAATGGAAGGAGCAAGATCTGTCCTCAGTGCAATTTCACAGTCATTACAACATCTCCTGCAGGTTTCATATATCACACGTAGCTCTGAAAATAAAGAAAAAACAAAAAAACAGAGAGGAGAGAGGAGAGAAATTAGCAAAGAGTTAGTATCTGCTAAAACAAATAGCTTTTGTATTAGTGTTCACTTAAAAATTCCCTTATAATAAAGTCAAGGACGCATCACATACACATTCAGAACAGATATTTCCATGCGGTTTGTTTTATTGATCTACTGTAGATCTTACAGACCTTCGTTGGATAACTTACCCTGTGATCTTACACTGCTTGTAAATATAGGTAGCAGACTGCAACAGTATAATACATGAGAAACAAGAAACTAATTCAGTTCTTTATTTGCAAACTTCTTGGCTGTATATCTTCCCTTCCTTTAAGGGTATTCAAAAGATTATTTCTCCTACAAGCATTGTCCTTGATGTGACTGACTGGGATAGTTATGAACCGGCCATTTCAATATTAATTTAGGAAGAAGCCAACTTCTATTTTTAAAAACATAAATTCTAAATTGGGAAACAAGTGCTGAATTAAAGTGCAATTGTTAATTTGCTGTTTATTATTGCCCATTTATTTTTAAAATGACAAATAATTTTTATACCTGAGCAGAAAAGAATCTGTGTGCAAGTCCAATTCCAGCCTTTCTGCATAAGTCTGGGAAAAACTCCTGCCTGAGAGTTGCTACGGGTAGACAAGACCGAGTTAGTTGAACAAGGACTCTTACTGCATTGGACCTATTGTGTTATATGGTAAGAGAGATGAGATATTTGATATTTATTCAAGAAAAACAAAATTGGAATGAAAATGTACAATAGGCAAGAATGTAATCTTAAGGTACTGAAAGAATATGCCAGCATGAAAGCTCAATGTGTGCAAAAGTTCCTAATAACATATTCTCTACTTCTAAATATAAATGTCACAAATAACTTGAGTTTTCACTCTCAAATAAAAGCAATGTACTGTGAAACCCCACCTAGGTGGCAGGCTTTCAGGCTGCAGCATGGGATCTATGGAGGAGAAAATATGCAACAATGTTTCAGATTTTCATAATGTCCAGTTTATGTCTTTGAACAAGAGGTCAGACTTGCAGTTAAGACATTCATTCAGGCAGCAATGAGTTTGCAAGGAGGATGCAAGATAACAGATTTTTTTAGAGGCTATAATGGGAAAAGAATTTGGCAAAGGTTAAAGTAAAAAGGCCAACTAACCCAGGGAAGGCTTCAGTACATCTTAGATCTCATTCTTAGATAGTCAGCTTTATTTCTATTATATGCAAATAATCCATACTATGAAGTCACAAATAGAACCTATGCAAAAAATCTCTTGAAAGTTAATTTATCTTTCTAGCTACTTGAAAAATTGGTATTCCAGATGAAGTGGTAACTAAGATAATGCAATTTCGAAGGTAAAATTCAGTCCTGCTTTCTTTCATTTCTTCTCAGAAGGCCCTAAAGCAGTTCTAAACAGTAAAAGGTTGCCATATTTTTGAATGGGATTGAAAGCAAAACAGAAATGTTCTGCAACAGGAGATCTCATAGCCAAGGCACAATGGCAGATTCTCATTGTCAACCACAGTAACACAGAGAACTTTTCACTTTCTGTAACTGTGACACTGTCACATTATGAAAAGGAATAGTCACAAATCCAAAAGTGAAACATAGAGATGTGAGTTTTCCAATAAATTTTCTTACTCAAACTAGTGTATCATCGCCATATCCATAGCACTGTATGCACTGGTGGTTGAGATACATTATTTGAAAAACAATAGATAAAAAATTAAATCTAGTCTATTGAACAAGCAAACTAAAAGATTTGGTATGTGGAAAAATATTTTTACTGGAACAATGGAAACTATATTGAGAAATAAATACTAAAAATAGAATATATAACTTTTGAAACTGCCAAGCATGCTTAAGTGGAAAATTTTGATCCTGAAAAACATGGCAAAATGCAACAAAATATATACAATCAGAATTGTTTGTTCATAAAGAATCTTTCTTTCAATTTTTTATAATGAAAGTGTGTTATCCCCTTCTTTTTTTCTCCTCATCTGCATAAAGTGGGCATGGCAGGAGGGGAATCTTTTCCTGATATCTTTGAAAGGAAATGTTTCTGCAAGCAAGCTACAAATTTCAGAATGAGATGACCAACTTGCTCTGTATTCCCCCTAGCCAACAGATCTGTTTCTTGTGGTATGTTGTTGAACTTTAGAGAAGCAATGCAAAACTCTTTCTCCTTCTGCCAAGTCATATTGCAGTGTGATACAAACAATGTTCCTGCTACCAATTTTCTAGCATATGCAAAAATCTTGGAAGGCAGATATAATAAATGGCAAATGTAAAATCATGGCTTGGCTAGTCCAGCTTGTCAGGCATGAAAACTGAAAAACCAGGATAACAGCACCACTAGCTCCCTTTCCACAGAGATTTCATTTAATCTTCATTGGCACTTCATTTTGTGAGAGGAAAGTATGGCACATCCAGGATCCAGCACTCATAAATCTCACAACGTATGGCCCAAAGTAATTTCAGTTTCCATCCCGGTAGTCCAAATTGTACAAATGTGACTAACAAAGATATCAAGGTTCTTCTTTATACTATAGGCTCAAGAATGAATCTATCAGGGCCTTCTAGTAGGAAAGTGTTACATTTAACATACTTCACTGTATATTGCTACATTTTGAAGGACTTTAACATTAGTAGTTGGGAATAGCTTTCCTATCTCATTAGGTCTCTGGTGACTTAACTGTTTCTTTGGACCTGTTAAATCATTTCAGGGATTGCAGTATTTGGGAAAAAAGCTATGTCTACTAGACTGGTACAACGCTCCCATCAAAGAATCTTGTAAGTTGCAGAAGTTTCGGCACAAACCCTTTGTGATCACAGTAAAGAACAAAAAAATTAGTATGGATTCTTAAAGAAATTATAGTTTTCCCAAGGACTTATGTTAGATTCCTTCAAAACATAGCAATATACATTAAGATGCAGTTCTTAAAATGTAGGACAGTAAATAATTCTTACAATACCAATTCATCCCTAAATACCTATATCTGTGAGCTATAAGAAGAACTAACCATAATTTTCTCTGGCAAGTGGTGAATATTTTACTTCCCATTTAATCCTACAGAATTAGATGGTTTTGATATATCCTCAATGTCTTCTGTCCAGACAAGAATCTTCTAAGTTAAGTTTCAGGACAGAGACAAAGCCCTGAAGCCATCAAGCAAAAAATAACAAAGTCAGAATTTGATTCTAGTCTTCCTTTCTCAAGTTCAGCTCTCTCTCTGCCACTGTATACCTCCCCTCAATTATTTCCAAGATTTATCTTTCCTACCACTGATATGGACTCAAATTTACTAAGTCCACAAGAAACATCTACATCCCTTCAATCTGCAGAACATGTTGAGAGAAAATTTGCATGAAAAAATCCCACTTCTAATAATCTTACATATTCAGATCCTAAGTCTAGCACTTAGACTTATATACCGTTCCACATGTTTTATAACACTCTCAGAATGGTTCACAAATGTCAGCATATTGCCCCCAATAATCTGGGCGTTCATTTTATCAACCTCAGAAGGAAGGAAGACTAAGTCAATCTTGAGTCGTTCATGATCAAACTCCTGGCAGTGGCAGAGATAGCCTGCAATAGTGCATTCTAACCACGTAGGACCTCTTGGTACATTCTGCCAAATACTTAATACACAAAGGGAAAGAAAGAAAGAAAGAAAGAAAGAAAGAAAGAAAGAAAGAAAGAAAGAAAGAAAGAAAGAAAGAAAGAAAGAGGGAGGGAGGGAGGGAGGGAGGGAGGGAGGAAATAGTCTGCCTACCCTCTCTCTGTTTCCGCTTACTCATTCATTCCTGGAGTGGCGGAACATATATGTATTGTATGTCTTTTGGTTATTGCTTTTTTATCTTGTATGTGACAGGTCTAATATTGTAAAGCAGACATGTCAAACTCGCGATGTCACGTGACATCGCAAGATGTATCGGGACTATTTTGCCATTGCCGGCAATGGGGTGGGCGCGACTCCAGTATGATGAAACCGGCCCACGGGCCGGCAGTTTGACACCCCTGTTGTAAAGGAAAGGAGTTGGAATTAAACAAATATTATCAGGAAATACAAATAATTGCCAGATTACTAGACCTTTACTGGATTTCAAAAAATTACTATTTCTGAATATCTCCAACAGATAGCAGAAAATCTCAATAATATTCTTCAGGAACACAACACAACCAAGATGCATGGACTCAAAAAGGATAGTGAGAAGATAATTTATATTTATATTTCACTATATACGTATTAAAGAGTTTATCAAGATAGATTCTGTAATTTACCTTATTTTGTACAGTACTACAAACCCAATGCCTGAGAGATTTCTCTCATCACCTCCCAACAATTACATTTCCTTAGAAGGCATGCATATACCTTTGCATATTTTGCAGATTACTATGCAGTAAGGCTAGAAGGATGAGAATAGGAATCACTTCTTCAAGTGGTCAACTACTTGACCCAACACTGTGGATTGTTCTCAAGTTGAATACTTTTGAAAAACCATATTTTAATTGCACATGTCTTCTTCTGAATGGGTACTTAAATCCTCCGTTCTAATATAAGGATTGCTATATATATATATTTTAAAAGCCACTCTAGATGCAGTACAAGAGAAAATTCTGTGATGTAAGAATGTCTACTCAAAGAACCATAATTATTTAACTTATGAGACAATAACAAGTATATCTATCTCTGATTATATGGTCTATGATAAAATAGACAATGAGATTTCCAAAGAAAGCACCAACTTTATGGTTATGGATAAAGATCAAGGACCTAACCAGATATCACATATGGGCATATTTTAGGCACACACTGTGAATAAAGAAGATGTAGGCCTTAACTGCAGAAAAGTTACAAAGGGCTCTCTAATAAGAAAGCAAAACAGTACCAACAATC